CATTAAACTTAACATCTTATAGCTCTTCATTACTTATTATACTCCTACTCTCTGAAGGGTACGGTTGTGCACTAAATGCACAAAAAGGTATAAAATAAAAACAACTGGCATGAGGATAATTGTATTAAAACCAAAAGTGGATATCATGATAGTTTGTGATATATCTGTAGCATTATACATTGCAAATGAATGTTGTTACCCTAGGGTGTTTCCTTTATTAATGCATTTATTAATGATACTTGCACTTACCTATTTCATTACAATTTAATGATTCACCTCAGCACTTTAATTTTTCTAAAACAGATTCCAATCCCTTGTAAAAGGTGTACTTACCTCAATATTGGTTGGTTATCGTATGCCTACAACCACGGGATGAAAACGGAACGAAGTCGATTTTCCCGCTCAACCTGGAGGACAACTGTACAATTCAATAACTATACGGCCTAATTCAGAAAATGAGTGTATTATATGTATCGAATATTTAACAGTTGAAATACGATTAACTTGTAGACAATCTACGATTTGATATTATATCATACTTGATCGTGCCTGTAAAAATGGCATGCATTTTCATGTAAATTTGTAAATTTATATGAAATACATTATTATTATTATTCATGTGATCATTCACGATGACAGTGCCGCTGGTCCTCCGGACCTCTAAGAGGGGAGCTGTGTGACGTACTCAACAATATGATTGTACACTTTTTGTTAGTTGTTCAAATTGAAGGCATTGTACACGATTTTTGTTCAAAACGACTCATGTTTAAATATATGTAATTTCCGAACACAATTCGAATTACAATACATACTGTTGGTGGTTTCGCCTTCTCACTGGCTGTTCCTGTCTACTTGCTCAACTCATACCGTGTTGAATACTTTGCATTTATTGCAGGAATCTATTATTCTCGCGAGTGCTTCGTAAAGGAGATTGGCATTTTCACGTTGTGAAGTAAGTTCTGCTAATGTTGTGTAAATAGCATCATAAGCTTTTAGGTTCACTTTAACTTGTTTTTAATTAGTTGAAGTAGTGTTTATTTGTGTGCACTTTCGTGACTTTATGTTTGGTTTTTATATCTCTGTATTTAGGTTTATAAATATACGTGTGTAGCTTAAGTAGCTAATACTGTCATGAGTCTCACAAATAGTTGTGAACGACCGGACTGCCACTTTCCGGTGGAGGATGGGATGCAGTGTGATAACTGCAACCTATGGTTCCATAAAGTTTGCACTGGCTTATCACCATCAGCCTATGGGAGATGCAGCAAGCCATCATCTCCGTGGATGTGCAAGTGTAGTACAAACCCGTTGGATGTCCTCATCCAAGAGTCCGTAGGACTTCTTATGTCCAAGAAGTAACGAAAAACCACTGCTTAGGGGAGAAATGCAGCATTTAGTACAGATGTTATAAGCGAGGATTCTGGCCTTAGTCATAAGACAGAGAGAACCACATCCCTCAGCTTCGAAAGTAGCAACAGAGGTAAATGTGCCCAGCAGTCTGCAACAGCACAAAAAATGCCCCGAAAACCTAGGAGGGCAAACAGTGACAGCATTGTAAGGCAGCAGGGTGGTACCACAACGATGAAGCGTTGCGTGTCTGGTGAACGCACGGCTTCCAACTGCGGCGAGAGTAAAGTGGAAGCATCTGATTCCACCTGGCTAGTGCCGAAGAATAGGAAGCTCAAGAATCACAGGAAAGAGAAAAGTACTGTGCTTAGTGATAAAGTCTCAACGGCCGTAAACACCTTCGGACTCAAATTACAGTATAGTAATTTGGAATTTGGGGGAATCAAAGAAGGTAGATCCAGCTGCTCGACATGCAGACGATCTCGAAATAGTTAGCTCCGTCATCCGTGAAATACTTCCGGAAAAAACAAATAGTGTTCCCATAAGGGAAGTCATCAGAATCTGTAAACGAATCGCCGATGCAACGGAAAGTTCCCCACGACTGCTGAAGGTAGTACTGGGGAACGAGATGGAGAAAACTGTTATTCCCAACAACGCATTCAAGATCGAGAATAAAAAGATAAGAATTAGGCGAGACTGGCCTTTGGAAGATAGAATTAGGAGAAGAGAAGCAGTGGCTGAATTAAAGGCCCGATTAGAAAAAGGTAAAAAAGACCTCAAACTGTTGGGTTTTCGGGTAGCAAGGTCTCGGAAACCTATGTTACCCAGACCTCTGTTCATAAGTCGAGTGAACACATAGGTCTCTCAGTATGCTACACGAACGCTTGTAGTCTTAGGAATAAGCTTCCCGAACTAGGAGTGTTGACTGAGGAACTACAGCCGGATGTGATTGCTATCACCGAAACATGGTTGTTAATGGGTATAGACTTAACTCCACTCATACCTGGGTACATCTGCATTAGAGCAGAGAGAGTAAGTAGTCGGAAAGGTGGGGGGGAGTGGTCGACGTTGTCGGAAGGTCATGACAGTGGCACCTGTGAAGCTGCAGGTTGTGTCATTAACTTGAACAAAGGCACTGTAACGATAGGGGTTATTTATAGAAGTCCTACCAGGCAAGCTGACAATTTCGTCAGGACGTGGAGTAGAAAGAATAGGTGTCTAATAGTAGGTGATTTTAATGCCCCGCATATTAATTGGGAGGAATGAACATCAGTTACTTCGTACAATTGTTTCAACAGGGAACTAATACTGGCAGTACTTGAATGCGCACTTGTGCAGCACGATACCATCCTGAACATGATCCGTTCACTCTAGACTTGGTGCTAACACACCAGAAGGAGGATGTCAGTAACATTAGGGGGCTGGCGCCGCTAGGCAGTAGTGACCACATGGTTATTACTTTTATGTTCAGGATCCAGGCCGTCATACATAGGTCAACAGCCGCTCGCCCAAACGTTTGGAAAGCGAATATACCTGCAATCCGAAATGCAGCAACCCTAGCTGACTGGTCTGTTTACACACACCAGACTGTCGAGGAGGCTTGGATGGGATTTAGGAATACACTAGAGTGCGTCACTGCACCCTTTGTACCTTGGTCTACGCCTCGAAAATTATCTCATAAACCACCTTGGATTAGCAATGAAATAAGGAGGTTACTAAGAAAACGAAAGAACTTACGGGACCGGTTTGCTGTGACTGGGAGGAATGAGTTTCGGATGGAATACCGCAAAGTTCGAAACCTTTGTAAATATGAGATTGACAAAAGTCGTATAGAGTATGAGAGACAGTTAGTACTGGATTGTGTGCATTATCCAAAGACTACTCATATATCAAACGCAGGTCTAAAACTAGTAGTGGCATAACGTCCCTCATTAGCAACACAGGAGAGGCTGCCGAGTCAGACGAAACAAAAGCTGAGGAGCTCTCCGAGTACTTCTGTGATGTTATGTCGCTTAATCGTACCACCCAGGGGTGTAGCGAGGTAACTGATGTAGCAGTTATGGTAGGTGATGCAGTGGTTCTGAAACTACTGTCCAAGTTGAAGCCAGGTAAATCACCTGGACCAGACGGACTTCACCCTGGATTGCTATTCTCCCTGGCGGATATAATATACATTCCACTTACGGAGATTTTTCAGGTGTCTCTGACCCAGGCTAGCCTACCCAGAGACTGGAAAGATGCTTTTATAAGCCCCATCTTCAAAGATGGGAACAGGCAGTTAGTATCTAACTACCGGCCTGTAAGTCTGACCTGCATTATAGCAAAGGTGTTGGAAAAACTCATAAGGGATCAGCTCTTAGCTCATACGGAAAAACATGGCTTACTGGCAGTGGAACAGCATGGATTCTGACCAGGACGATCCTGATTGACAAACTTACTGTTAGCAAGGGAAGATTGGGTCGAGGCCAGGGATAAAAACCATCTACTGGATGTTGTATTTATCGATCTTAGTAAAGCATTCGATAAGGTATCCTATTTAGGTCTTCTTAGTAAACTTAAACATTTTGGATTAGACCAACGCTTATGTGAGTGGTTTAGTGACTACCTAATGGATAGGAGGCAGAAGGTAAGGGTTAATGGTGTATTGTCAGGGTGGGAAGCAGTACTAAGTGGAGTACCTCAGGGAACTGTACTTGGCCCCCTGCTATTCTTATTGTATGTAAATGAAGTGCCGAAAATTCCTACTTCATCTTCCTAATTATTTGCGGATGATATTAAGATATGGAAAACCGTAAATAGTAGCGATGATAGGTTGGTACTACAAAACGATCTAGACAAATTAGCCGAATGGGCTCACCTTTGGAGTCTGGAAATTAATTCCAAGAAAAGCGCGGTAATGCACCTAGGTCAGAAGTCTCACACGTCGTACTCCATGGGGGACACAGAACTGCCAGATGTTAGGGAACAAAAGGACTTAGGAATTATTGTTAGCCATGACTTAAAAACAACGGCAAACTGTAATCGAGCCGCAGCTAAGTCCCTTCGAATGCTATGGGCACTTCGAAGGGCTTTCAAACGATTAGACGAGGGTATGTTCCAAGTACTCTATGCAACATATGTCAGGCCTCATCTAGAGCACTGCATACAAGCGGCGAGTCCATGCTTCAAAAAGGAGGCACATACCCTGGAAAGAGTACAGAGGGTAGGAACGAAATTAGTTAGTGGTATCTCACACCTTCCTCATGACATGAGGATGGAGCATTTAAATCTCTTCCCATTATCATACCGAAGGAGGAGAGGCGACCTAATTTTGGCTTACCGTATATTCAAGGGTAATTTAGGGATTGACCTTTCAAACCTTCTCTCCCCCTCTAGGATACATTTACGGGGTCACCAGAAGAAGGTGCTCAAACCGCGGTCGAATAAAATACGTTTGGAGTTTAGATTCTCTCACAGAGTGGTCAACGACTGGAACTCCTTACCTGATTCAGTAGTAACAGCTCCATCGGTGAACGCTTTCAAAGAGAAACTGGATCTCTGCAGAGATATATATCGCGAGGATTAACATAGGCAACAGGAGCCTTCTATCCTTATAATCTGAATCTGAATCTAAATGATTAACCTTCATAAAAGTTATATAATTTCATTAGTATCCCTTTCTGCTAAAATGGGCACTTCTACATTAAAACTACTGTTCTAAGTCAACATTAGGCCACATAATAAATCTGCATTACTGCTAACGTTTCTGGGTTGTATAACCCAAGTCCTCCATAAGGTCTTGGCTTGTTGTTATCCCTATTGTCAGTGAAATACCCGACTGACTGACTGACTGATTTCCACAGGGTGTTTATTTGTTGCACAGCGCACTTCTCTCCTGTTTTATTTTTACGTTTGTGCTGTTACAAAATGTAAATTGTCATCTGTTAAAGTTAGAATTGTTTTTTTTAAAGTCCTTGTTTAGAAATGATAATTAGTGTTGATTTTAGTTGTCTTGTAATTGATATAAAAATGTCATTAACAAATTTTACAGAATCGTGGAGGAAAATCTCTCTGGTTCACACACAAGACCAAGACCTATTCAACGAGGTCCCTAACGAAGATTCTATACGTTTATCTGAGCCATTGAACATGCACAAACTTACCAGTAAGTTGATTGTTCTCCTCCATACAAATAAGAGTCTGTTGTTTGAGGTGGTAACAGCAGCTGAGGTCAATTAGTTCATATTGTGATTATACTGACGTTTACACACTGTGGTGGTTGCAGTTGGTTTTCCGTAGATTGATTGACTGATTGACCATTATTCTAATGACTATAGTGACTCTGACATTGTGGTGTTTTTTGAGACGATCGGAAAGAGATTTGTGTGTGAGAAGTGAGCATGTGTTGTCTGAATTTGAAAATAAAAAAGCGTTTATTTGTAATAATAATTTGATCAGTCTGGGACTGGATCGTACATTCATTGAGTATTTTCTGAACGCGCTTCACTTAACTCACTAACTAGAGGTATGGGTGGGAGATGAGATTGGAAGTATCCATTCCAATCATCAAGGCTTTTGAAGAATAAGTGTATACTGGTAAGAATGACAATGATAGTAAGATTAGACTAGGGATGGGTTATTATTGTCTCGACGTGTGAAACACAAAGTGAGGAGGAGGAGGAGGAGGGGATTGTAGAGGAATATCTGTGCTACGGTGCATTGATTCAGTATGTGTGACAGTGTTATACAATAGACATTGAAGATGGGGTGAAGGCAGATCTCATCTTATAAGTCAGGTGAGAATTTTGATCCAACAGACAACGTATGGTTCTGAAATAGTTCAGAACGATTCATGACTGACCTCACCCCACAGGGGGGGGGGTCATCAGTCTATAACACACTTACACACCTGTTTCAATAAACTAAAAGCAAGTAATTGTTGTGCCATATGTAATGTTTATGTAATCACCGTGTTTTTCACAATACGTAGAATTTGTTTTGATAAAGTCTCACAGCGTGTTATACAGTAATGTTTACTGATGACCACGTTTCGAGCACAATTTATTGCTCATAATCATATCAAGGGACTCACACGACTTTCTGGCTTCCATTACTTTTCATCGCTTGATTTGATTGGTAGTAGTATTCTCCATATTTCCGGAAAATGAACAAGGAGAATTAGCTGTGATGTTAGATTGTAAAATAAAACGAATAGAAGAAGGTAAACTGCACACTAGCGTTTTTAAAAAGCCAACGCATTCTGCTAATAGATATTCAGACTTTAATTCATCTCATCTGTCCGTTATCTGTCTGTTAAGGCAGGCTTAGTTAAGTTAAGTGTTTAACAAACCGAGCAATAGCACTAAGTAGCACAAGAAAAGGCCTAAATGATGAAATAAAACAGACAGAAGAAGAGGCGTTGGTGTCAAATAACTAACTATCCTATAAAATTCAATAAGAAGATCAGTAAAGGCCAAAAGCAAAATCGAAAAATAATTGTGAAACTCGTAATGATAACATAAATTAGAGAGAATATAAGTCATCTACTGTGATACCATATAAGGATGGAGGGGATATCTGAGACACTCCCTAGGTAGGATTCTTAATAATATGGGAATCAGGCTGGCGGTGGCATTTAAACCTACAAACTCACTCAGGTAGGACAAGTTCTGTAGGCTAAAAGACCCTGACGGTTGACCCAATTAGACAAAGTAATATAATTCACAAAATACCTTGCATTGACTCTGACTTAGGTCAACTACATAGGTGAAACAGACTAGTAGATCGGGGGTAGTCAGATTGTCGTAGCATAAGAATTTAACTAAGGTAAGAATGGTTGACCCCACCCGAGAAGATAAGTAATTTATAGAAACGCTCAGCACCACATTGCACTGCATGCATGCATTAACACACAACCACACAATAGCATGATGTGAGAGGGCTAAGATTCAAAGAAGTAATATGTGTAGGTGGAGAGAGAGAGGTAGATTACTGAATCCTGTCTGGTTCATTGAGTCTACACCCAACACTTGCAATAGGGATGACTCATCACTCATACCACTACTGCCAATCATCAAATCAAGTGATGAAAAATAATGCCTTGATATGATTATGAGCAGTAATAAATTGTGCTCGAAACGTGGTCAGCAGTAAATACATAACACTGTACAACACTGTGAGACTTTATGAAAACAAATTTTACCCATAATGGAATTATACTCTACCACCACAGTGCACAAGTTTTATTCTTATTTCACAATTCATCGTGTTAGCAATTTTTCGTTGAGATCTTCTGTTTTACTGTGGTTAGACACATTGTTAATTGGGAGTTCTAGAGGATAAAACACTCACCTTATTTACAGTATGCTTGTATTCAATCAAACGGGTGTACAAATTTTAGTTGAAATGGTATGCGTGAACATATCTGGTCAATGTTCGTCAATGCTCCTCATCAGGCCGAGTGTGTGACTCATCGAGCTAGTTGAAAGCACTTGGTTTAGCATTATTACACATTGTTTCTTTGAGAAAGAAAGGAGGAATGATTTCTAGTAGTCCTATCGAAATTTATTGAAGGGACTATTTTGTTTTAAATGATCGAAAAAGCCACCAAAAACATGCTCTACCACAGGCGCCTCAACATTGCACAAGTGATAACGTCACATTCCGTGTTGTGTGTGTGTGTGCGTGTGGATGCATACACTGACAGGAGGAGTAATGGCGCCTTGCTTGCATGTTGGCGGTGGGAGAACATACATACATATACCTAAATGGCTTGAAAAATAGTTAAACTGTGAAACCTCTATGGGCGTACGTGACTGATAACCGACTGAAATATATACATGTATATATATATATATATATGCTTGTTTAAGTTGACGTCATTCGTCTTTCATTTTAGATGAGCTGTCATCTTTGATATTATCGGAAGGTTTGTTGGATTCAATATGTCACAAGTTGTGTATTCCAACGCCAAGATCATCAGTGTTTGATGGATGGACTATTATTCTTACTGGTGGTGGTGCTGGAAGTGAGTTTATGGTCCTTTCTACAATCTTCTCGTTGATGTTTACTTTACATTAGCGGACACATTTTATTCCAAATTCCTATAGCTTAGAGTAGTAGGCACTTATAAAATTCGTGGAAAATACCCATCGGAACATTAGATGATTGAAAAGAACAAGAAGTTCAGCAAAGATGGCGATCTTTTCGGCGACTTCATTCTCAAAAGCATCTGTACAATCGCATTTATACAGATTAGTTCACATGGATACAATTATCATTTGTTTAATTAATTCCACATAGTAATGAAGGTGATAATTATTTTTCAACTTGATATGAAAGTTTGAAGGTACGAATATAGATAGATTACAAGGGGCTTAGAGACAAGATTGCATAGGATTAGAAAACAGTTACAACGTGTGCAAAATTAATATTTGATAACTGGAGAAATAATTTTAAAGGCGAATAAAAGGTGATAATTATTTTCAGCTTGATATGGATTACAAGAGGCTTAGAGACGGAAGTTACGCAGGGATAGAACGAATTACATGTGTGAACCAAATGAGCATGGAAACAAATTGAAATCGAAATTTTCAACTTGAAATGTAAGTTAGGCGTGTGTGAATATAGATTACAAGAGGCATGTAAACAAAAAAATACACCGGATTAGAATATAATTTTAAAATGGTTGTTCTAAACGGGATTACAAGTGTGATCAGGAGGAGCATGGAAACAAACTTAAAATAACTGATTTTATAACTGAAAAAGTTGGGATGAATTGAATGAAGACAAACAGAGAGAGCAAAACAAAAGAAAACTGAAGGGTAAGGGAACATACCGAACTAGGTCCGTGGTAGTTGTAAAGGCTGGACTAGTTTCTTTTGAACACATAGCTCCGGCTTTTCGATGCATTTGGCGAGAGCTTCCGCAGTACAAAGAAGTTGGAAACACACTGACTGCCTTTGGTAGATTTTTGTTTACTTTGTAAATGACTGAATGATGAGTCAGTTGAGATTGTGTGACAGGTATTGACGAGGTGTTCAGTGATTGCCCTTCTGATTGAACCAGTGCCTCCTGTTTGCAGTCATGCTGGATGATGTTATCTAACACGTTTTGATAAGACCCGCATAGAACGACGTATGTACCTAGCTCCGCAAGAGCAGGTGAACTGATATATATGCACATTGAAGTGGTCATATGCGGAAGTCTGTCCTTCCCGTTGCCCCGAAGTAGTGGGCGGTTAGAGAATATCACTCTTAGAGTTGCTGCCTTATAAAGTGGTGATATTTTCGGGTAATTACAGCGCAGTCAGCTAATTTGTTAACCACCTAGGTGGATCATTTGTTGTTCACGTGACGATTTTATTGAACAATCGGTTGTTACACCATCAAAGGTTCGGGGTCGTTACGTTACGTGCCTGTAGAAACTGATCTTTCAGATGGGTTTTGTCTGAGAGATCATACTGGTCATTGGCCTGTAAGTGTTAGGCTAAACCTGAGATAGACCTCAAAATAACCACACTTAGTAAAATCTTCACCGCGTTATAACCTTAACAGTACACTCTATCTAACGTGTAAGTACTGACGAATGGAATTAGAGTAAAAAGACTTGAGACGCGGGAAGTGTGTCTGGGGACGGAGTTTTATTTTACACAAATGAAATATCAAATTTAATAAATATAGAGGTGTTATACAACCTATCTGTGGTTTTGACTAGTAGCAGGCTCAGAGAGTGCGCTGAATGAAAGCACAACAAGAGGAGAGAGTGAACGCAGTATGTACAGGAGAGTCACAAATCAAAAGATGAAGTGAGTGAGTGCGTTGAAACAAAGGTTCAATTTACACTACAGACCCGAGACTTTATCAATATGACTCAGAATTAAAAAAACTTACGGTGACCTTGCTGTATTTTCGCGTTTTTTATTCTTTCCTAAAAGCCATATGAAGTGTGATAAATGAGATACTTTGAATGTTTTAGATACGCTTTAGTACGCTTACGTGGTTTCTTTTAATAGGTAATAATAGTCCAACGGCGGATTCCGTTGATGTCAATCTTATAGAACAACTGATTGTCGCCTGTGGTGGGGAAATCGCCGTGGAGATAACACCTTCTTTGCTCAACAGACGACGGGGAAATAGTTGTGATGGAAGTTATGCACAAGAGTCGGCAATACAGCAAAATCGGCATATAGCCTTAGTTTCAACGAACTGCTGTCGTACATTTGCATACTTGCAGGCGCTTGCTACGTTGGGTAGCATCCCGATACTATGTACTGAATGGCTACTGGATGCATGTCGAGAAGATGCCAAGACATCAAGTGGAGAGTCTCGTAATTGGCCTCTCCATTTATTACTCACGTATCCTGGCCGTTATGAATTGCCTAGAGGATTCATATCTGGATCCTTGGAACCAGTTAGTTGGTGAGTTTTGATAATTTTTTCGGATCAATAATGTTGATGCGTAAAAGTTTTTTTTTATAAACCTGGAAACTAATGTTTCTTATTTAACATTGCACATACACTAATATATGTGTAAAACATGGGCACTGTGGTGGTGGTAGTAAGTAATTCCCTTATTAGTTTGTTTATTAGATGGATGTATCGCACAGTAAGTGAAACAGTATTAGTATTTACTGGATGACAAAGTTGTTTCGAACACAATTCATTATTCCTGTTCATAATCACATCAGCAATTATAATCACACGACTTCGAAACTTGAGTTTCATGGTTTTCTTTGTCCTCTCCTATTTGTCGTCGTAGGCGTGGTAGTAGAATTTTCCAGATATCTGGCTGGACAGGTGTTGAATCATTCCTGTTACACGTGTTGATTTGCAGTTGATTCGATAAACAAAGCTTCTGTTATCAATCTCTCCCTCCCTCTATTCACCCTGTGACATTAGATTTCAAAACTGTCATCCTATCCCATCCAGCCTATTTTATGTTTGTGTGTGATTGCATGTAGTGCTTGCAATAGCTTCTGAACTATTCTCTAGATTTCTTATCTTATTCGGGTCAACTAATCTAGATTTTGCTGCTAGGTTTTTATGCTGTTCGGAAAGTCTGACTCACTGACCCCGTTCTACTACTTTGACCTATGTATTTGACCTGACAATCATTGCAGACAGGATATTAGATCCTTTAACCGGCAAAGTTTGTTTCTCATTGAGTTTGTGGTTGGTTTGAATTGCAGCCACTTTTATTCCTGCAAATACGTGTAATAGGGATGATTCAACACCTGTCCAGCCAGATATCTGGAAAATTCTACTACCACGCCTACGACGACAAATAGGAGAGGACAAAGAAAACCATGAAACTCAAGTTTCGAAGTCGTGTGATTATAATTGCTGATGTGATTATGAACAGGAATAATGAATTGTGTTCGAAACAACTTTGTCATCCAGTAAATACTAATACTGTTTCACTGACTGACTGTGTGTGATACATCCATCTAATAAACAAACTAATATGGAATTGCACATACACGTTTTGCTAAGGAATGCTTGTGAACCCCGTTGACTCTTTTAAAAAAAGTTTTACTAGCTTCTTGATATCACTTTAGGACACTGAATTAGTTTCAAATATCCCTGAAAGATTGTGCTGTTTAATTTCCTAGTGATATAATGATAACTCGATGCTTTCTAGCTTCTATTAATATTCACTTGTACCAGCAGTGTGTTGCTAACTGGTTTCTTCACACGTTGATTTATCTATGTTGTTCAGTGTGTTCCAGTTATCCTCTTCGGTGGTGTACAGGTAGGTGGGTGGAGATTGTCGATTTATTTTACGGTGTGTGTGTGTGTGTTACAGACTATTATGATTATTTTGATTGTGGACACTGATTGACACTCATAATCTTGATATTCTTGATTTCTTTTGGGATGCTTTTAAATAAATCATTGAAAAAGAGATTCTCTTTGGCGTAGCATCATACTGCACATGTTTTCTGAAATAATAATAAGGAATATTTGTCTGCAAACATGTATTCTCCCTAGTAGAAGTGTAAGGACTGAAGGCCAGAGTCAGGCAACAGATCGTTTGTTCAGGTAATCAACACATATTTATCGATTTTCATGTACATTATTATTATAGATTATTGTTAGCAGATAAACACACTCCTCTGATTGGTGGTTGTTTCTCACTGAACGTTAGTTAATCTTTCATCTCTTTCTGGCTGTTTCTCCAAGGTCAGTTCATCTGTCCATCTGCTCACTGTATCCGCCTACGCAAACGAAGTGTGCTGTGATTGGTTGTTGGTTGAGTCAGTCAGTCTTTGTTCCTGATCTTCTTTTCTCATGACCGATATTTGGGACATAAACATTGACGTACATTACTGTCTACCAATTTTGGCTAGAGCACACAGCTCTCACCAGAGTAGTACTTTAAATTTTATATTTTTTGGTTTAAAGAGTGTTTGAAGGGGTTGCATATTGCTTTGAAATTGCTCTGAAAGCTATTTATTTTGAATACATCAATAACAAACAACTCAAGGATCAGATGAGAATACAACACACCTTCATTTTATTTAGGTCGGCATCTTCCCAACCACTGACAAATTGAATAATAGAAGTTAACAGTTTTACTACAATTTTCAGATAACCTTTTAAGTACATTAAAGATAAAATGTGCAATAATAATAATAATAAATAGCCAATATGGTTTATGGATGAATTTTCAACGTTAAGTTAGTGAAATGTTTTGAATTGCTGCTACATACTTATCAATGTAATATGACCAAAGTTTCTTGCATAAAGCAACGGCATAAGCGAGAATCAACAACATATTGTGGTATATGTAAATTATAACATTATAAAAGTGTTAATGTGAACGAATGGAATCTGAATAAAGTGGATTGTGAGTTGAGCTCATTTGCTTAGACATCAAGCATATTGAAGGATAACGTTTTGGTAAGTGATGATGTGACTAAGTAAGTAAGTAAGTAAGTAGCCTAAATGACTTCAGCGACTCAGGCAGGGATTGACTTGTTACCAGTGAATAATATCTTGTTGCTTTAGGATATGCAGATGATATATATATGTATAGTCCTGCTCCCTGGTGAAGACGCTGACAAAATAGAGCTCGAGTCTTCTGAACACCTTGTTGAGCAACAGTTATCTCCGAATGTTTGGCATACCGGCGAATCACTAGAGCTGCTGTCAAATTTAACATTATGGTACAAGACTGGAATACATCGACTCATAGCTTAGAGATAAGGAGTGAAGCAAGCGGTCGGTGGGGCGTGTTGACCACTTCATTTATTCGGAGAGTTGTATCAGCCAGCTCCAGCGGATGATTGATAGCTAACAAAGTCTCAGCATGGGCACACACAAGCCTCATCATTTGACATATGCGTCAGCTTATGCCATCTCTGGAATAGACGTGTGATATCCGGCTGACTGGCTGTCTACCAAAGGGCGTGTGTGTACTGCTCAGGAGTCAGGTCCGTCCTCCTTTATGGGATGGCTGTGAGACATGGCCATTGAAACAAGGAAGACATGAACAGGTTGGCTAGCTGTCTTTGTATTCTTCTTCCAATGCACCTGCTTTTGCAGCTATACAGTTGGAAATAACAAAGGAATAACTAATGTGTGTCGACTTTTGACTGAACACTGACTAACTTGGTGTTGTTTGGTAACACAGAAGTTAATCTGTCTGTGTGTGAGAAGGCCTCCCCGCTGATTTCTTAAATCGTCTGTTAACTCTCTCTCTACAATGTTGTTGTTTTTATCGATTTATTTATTTGTTTTCACTATTTTGTTTGTTCTGCTGTGTTAAGCTATTTACTTATCTCGATTTATAATATATTCAGGTCGTCTATTTCTGTGAGCTACCGTCAGTCTGCATACGCGACAAACCCTCCCCCGCTTCCTCCGCCTCCTTCTCCTTCATTGTTTTCTTTATGCGGAAAGTGGGCAAGCAGAGAAATTACTTTTTGCCTAGGCGCAATAGTTACCAATGATAGGGAAGCCTTTGGATCCGGTTGGTTGAATATTGTATCGATTGCATGTGGATTGATCAATGAAACAGCTGAAGGTGTTAGTTGTTCGTCGCCTAGTCGAATTCCGATAATCCCTGTATCTGAGGCATGTAGACAGCTTTCAATGATGTTTCCGATAACCAGATGTAACTATGGATGTAAATCTGTTGAGCAAAAAGTGAATTTCGTCCTAGTCGACGAAACTGAAGTAAGTGTTCAGTGTAGTGACACACGGTTATTTGCCTATCATCATCCTCATGTATTTCACGCATGTCCAATGAACATTAGATTGACCTATATTTATTACCTAATTAGTTTTTCTACTCATAATCATATATACTACACTTTAGTATTTCCACTTACTGTCAAACTTTAACACACGCAGAAAAACTGGTTGTTGTTCTTGTCTATTTTGTAATTCGTCTATATTCATAAGCTGGACGCCGACGTCACAGGGTACCCGGATAAGCGCAGGTGGTACATACTATTCGAACTTCCAGATGGATAGGATAATCAATCGAAACACTTCACTGGAATCTTGAATGAGGGTCTCCGAAATACAGCAGACATCGATAGCGAGGCTTTCCAATGTTCTTACCAACCCTGCGCCTGTTGTCCGATTTGCATCAGCGTCCGAACATTGTAGGTGGCCAGTTTGAATGCGGCACGTGGTTTCAGGATATCTGTGTTAGATGCGACATCGCATTGGGGACAACCATTTTGAAGGCTACTTACTCACTAACATCTCGAAACGGCACAGATAGGCTGGGAATGCAGACAAAGGCGAAAGGCTGTCGAAGGTGAAGAAGTCAAGGTTAGCAAAGGTAAAATACAGGAGTCTATGTATAAAACTTAAAAAGTAAGGTTGGAAAGACATAAGTCACTTGAGACACCATGATTGCTTGAAAGCATTGTTACGAGCACGCGATAAGTTTCACTGATAGTTTGTTGCTTCATTTCATTTATTGTGTGAGGGCTGAAATACTTACTGCCTGGGGCGCCCAGACCGAAGCAGGTGGTTTTCTTAAGAGACCACCCCTCTGTGCCTTTGACTTGGAGTCTAATCCGCAAGGCAGCGTCAGGAGCTGCATTCCCATGATTTCCGGTGACCCATATGGGTTCATACGCTATTTGATCCGATTGGATTCTGTAGCCGATGTACCCCATGTCAACTGCTTTTAGTCTAACCGTTATCCAGACAACTTTCGTGACATGGTAGGACCTGCAGGGACATGAGTCTCAGCCAGTTTAGCTTGTTGGGTCACTGCGATATTCAAGCCCCCGGACCACCAAGGCAAGGTAGCAGTTGTCGGCCGGGTTAACACACGTGGAAAAACTGGTTGTTGTTTTTCTTGTTATTGTTGTCTATTGTGTAATTCATCTATATTCTCATTTATCTGTTTATGCATATTTATTTTTATTTTATAGATCACTCTGTCTGAGCTGGCATACATGAGAACATTGCCTGTCGTACTGGTCACATCCGAGTATTTCATTCAGTCGTTAATCCGTGGATATTTAGAAAATCCAAAGTCTTCATCATGTTTCTCACCGAATGCTCATTGACACGAAGTTTGAATCGCATTTTTATAATAGTAACAATAATACGTACAGTTATTATTAGTATAGTAGTAATCCATTGCACAGTCTTTCAACTGTGTTTTGCCCTTTTTTGGGCATTTAGTCTACCTTTAATGAAGAAATCCTCGCCTTTATTATTTATAAGAAACTTGATTTTGTTATTATTATTACTATCATCTCACATTATTAAAATTTGTACACCGTAGTTGTGGTTGTGTTGTTGTTTGATTTGTGAACTTCGTCTTTTTCATTCCCCTCTCTGTTGTGTACAGTCAGTCGATTGTTGTGGTTGTTGTTGTGTATATCCAACTTATCTCGGCTAAGTGTCAAACCGTCATAGTATTGTTGTTTCTTGTATAGCTAGCTAGCTAGCTAGCTTGTAACGTGAACACTACTATTATGTATATATATTATATGTGTATATGTATGTGTACATGTGTATTGAATATTCCCATAATTTATTCAGAACAAAAAAATATTTAGAGCGAACAATTGTCGCTTTCAATAAATTCTTCCTTCTTCAGGCTGCTCTCCAATTATAAATCCATTAATTAATTTAAGCATACAATAGCCAGCCAGTCAGCCAGTAAAAGCAAATTAGAATCATATGAGAAAGTGTATTGCGGAACAAGTATAAGTAAGATGGATGGGATGGAACAATAGTCAGTTAGTTTTATTTAATATGCATGGTCAATGAGAACATGGGACAAAATGAGATGCAGTAATTTAATTTAATGATGTGTGTGTGTATACATATAAATATAGTGAACGGAAAAATACAGGTTTCGAGAGTGAGTGTAATCAGGGTGTGTGAGAGACAATATGAAAATAAACCAACGAATGGGGTGGTCTAGACATAAGTTCAAGGTTGAAAATAACGACAATAAGAATGATTGTAAAATAATAATAACGATGATATGGTGTAAAATTACAAGTAGTATTGGTGAATGATTGTCAAATAATAATAATAATAATATGATGAGTATAATGAAGTGGAATGAACAGGATTTTGTAAATAAGATAACAAGTTAGAAAAGCACTGCTTAAACCTAAGGTAATAAAATCATAAGGAAGGTCATGAAATCATAAAAGTCGAAAATGAACGTTTGTCAATGAAACAGAGTAATAGAAGAAGAAAATTGTGAAAGGAATTTATGGTGTTAATGTTTATGGAGGATTTGTTGGCTTTATTGTAGGCCAAGGTAAACATAGAGGTTGAATATACTTCTTCTGTATGCAAAGAGGTGGTCTTCTGGTATTAATTGCAACCGCTTCAGCTACTGATAGAAGACGCAGTCGAGTTCCTCTAGATAAATTACTAGGAACGCGGTAAGAATAGTTGAGAACGCCTGGTCAAGTTTTATCTGGTGTCCAGTATTTACCAAGTGGGCTAAGACTGCATGCACTATTTACGCATTTGGTTACCCCTTTAACTCAAACATACAGGTACATGTTAACGGGCGCGCGCATAGATAAAGCCCTCTGAGTACGGCCAATGTAACTTGTTCCACATTAGCAGTTGAATTCATAGATACACATTGATGAGGCCATCACCAAAGTGATTTACCCTTGACTTGCTGTGTGAGTACTGGTTTAGTTGAGTACCAGTTTAGCTGCAGGAAATGTTCTATCTACTGCTCTATTAAGTCGACATTTTAGAATGTCAGCTGGATTTATAATTGCAGAGCAGTCTGAAGAAGGAAGAATTGGTAGAAACCACAATTGTTCGCTCTAAATATTTTGTTCTGAGTATATGTATGTGTATGTATTGAAGCTGCATATATGAATTTGAACCGATTAAAGAAAGTTAACAAACAACATAGCTGTGTATATATTTTTTTTCTGTAAAATATATTTGAGACTTTGCATTGTTAATTTCATGTTAATTTTTTGTTTCCATGAAAGAAGTGAATGCCTTGATCCGTTGATGTGTTGTGCCTTGCCCCATTTCAACAAGCCTCATCGTTTTAGCCTTTTTTTCTGTATTGTTGTTGCTTCTCCTTTTGTTTTCGTCTTTCCACCGACTGGAGATGGATTGACTGAGTGATCAGGTATGGCCGAGAGAAGAAGAGGAAATCGAGAGCGAATTGATCAGTTTTGTTCTGCTGTTTCTTTTTAGTATGGTGGCAGCTGTGTGTGAGAAAGACGGAATAAAGTAGTAAACTAGAGTATAAATACCCAGTGTTACGTGCTTCGCAATAATACTTACTGGTTCGTCCAACTTGACTCTAGAATGCGCGCCTCCACAACAGAAATGCACCTACAACCAACTGGTCAGTGTGAAATTTCCCCCACCCCACTGAGATTGATAGATAGACAGACAGACACGAAAGTCAGACTGGAAAAACGACGACGACCTGAGGTGTGACACCGACAACCTTTATTAGGCAGAATAGGTGGTGGCAGGTTTATATTTACAAAATCTGAAGAATTTAAGCGATAGGTAGATGATGAACTATGTGATTAGTAGTTGTGTGACATCGAAGAAGTCCCAGCCAATAAACGAATCAAAACTGTTTAATCAGTCGATCAGGTTGTGATGTCAGTACATGCATAAATCATGACGTCGTCACGGTTGGGTGACAAAGATGCTTGCTTGTTCGTTCTAACAGACTATCAGACTACTACTGTGGTGGTGTCATACACGCACACACACACACAATGTTTGCCAGCGGAATATGATTCTCGCATATTCCCACAGTTCAATTCCCACTGCATTAGCAACAGGATGATACTATACTATGTGTATATTTGAACATTCTATTTCATGTCGTTTGTTTGTTTGTTCCTAGAGGAAAACAGAGCTTCAGCAGACACATTTCCGTTTCATTCTGTTCTTTGCAGTGTTTTTTGGTTGGCTTTAGGATTGCTTCATAGGCTCTCATGTCACCCTATACAACCGCGGAAGCGAATGGACTATTTTTACAATATTGAAGTTGATTACACACACAAAAATACATGGGGAATTTCTTTAATATTACAAAATAGTAACTTAGAATAGTAGTAAACATAATTGTAAAAACGACAGAAAAAAAATAGAAGAAAATTTGCACAGCAGCCCATGTTATTTCCAATAATATGTACTTTTGCTGCAGGACTATCAGTTTTATGTATTTGTATGTGTGATTGTTCATGTCATGTGTCCATGTGAGACATTCATATGTGGTGCAGAAGTGTGATTTTAATACCTAATATCTATAAAATCATTAAATGTAATACAAGAATCTTTTCAATTTTGAGCATTTGGATGTTGCTTACATGTGTGAATCATAGGATATCAGCGACAGTTGTGTGTAGCAATAGTCTTTAACATCGGAGAGTTTTATAAGGACAATATGCTCTTTGCGTGTACATAGTGTGGAGCAATTAGAAGATATAGAATAAACAAAATTGTCACGTATTTTAGGAGGTTCATAACAGTACTATAGGTTCAATGAGGATATATATGTGTATGAGTGTCACAATTTGTCTCTCAGTGTATTACAACAGATGGCAGTACAGTAAACGTTCACAGAGTAGTTTGATATGGCAATAAATTTACAACATCATTGGTTCAATTTTTTTCCACGCCTGAGTCTATACGTTGCACGCATATAAGTATCATAGGTTTTCAAAGAGCCTTTGATGGTTGAGATGCAGAGGTGCGAAATGTCGAAGGAGGTGAAAAACAGTCTGCGAAGGTATTTTGCAGAGAGTTGACTGACCATCCCTCGATAAGAGATTACAACAGGAATTCGCAAGATTCTTTGAACTGTATGTCCCATTGCAGACAGGAACCGTTGGCATACAGCAACCATCGTTGGAGTTCCGTATTTTGACATCTTCGACGCATGGCTGGTATAAATGAAGGCGTCGCTGCAGATTGTTACGTCGAGAATGTATGCTACTCCGTCTAACAAGATAATCAGATCAGGTTTACAGAAAGACGTGGGCGTTGGAACACATGGCTCGACGTAAAATCTGGTATTCATTTTGCGCAGTTTGTTAGCGATCAGCTTGAGGACGTAGTTGAGTCTCTTGCATCTGACGTCATGAGTTAGAGCGCAATGCTGAAGAATATGTTGGAGATTTTCCGGTTGACCACACCCGCCTCTGCAGTTAATGTCAGCTCTAGGACGTCCACGCGTACTTCTCGTTTTTGTGCTCAAGAGGCCTCCACGCAGTTGAACGGCCCGTACATAGAGTTTGGGCCAGACCATTTCGGGGTTGAGAAGCCATTTGTGAGATTCAGGGCATTCTGTTGACTCAGTCAAACCGTAACCATCTGCCGATGAGTGTAGCTGTTGTGCCCAGCTTTGATGGGCTTCTTCTGCTGATGTTACTATTTGTCTATGGGCTTGCATCGGAAGATTGCAGATCCTAAGAAAAGGTGTTAAGGTGGCAAAGGACGCGATGCTGTGTATGAGCGGATTCCTATTGTTGAGTAGTGTCTCGATTCTTTTGCGCCTATGAATCGGAATCGTTGTTGAGAGATTCATAATTCCCAGGCCTCCCTTTTTGATATCTGATAGGATCCCACACACTTTGTTATTGTTCAATTATCTTAACGACTGTTAATCTCGCATATGTTGTATATCATCATTCCCACGCATTCTGTTATTGACTATTACGACCAATTATTTCAAATACTGTTAGCTGTCTCTATTGTTTGTAAAATTGTATAAATACCATTTCCTAAATAAGTTATTCGTTGTTGTAGT